CCTTATTCCGTATCGTTGTATTCGAAAAATAATGCTCATTTTGTTTTTCAAATTTGTCTTCTAATTCAACCTTATACCATAGAAAAAAGATTAGGCCCAAAACTGACACTAATTGACATTTGATACATCTAAAAGTTAACAAAAATCCACCAAATTGATTTAGTTTACAAATACCAAGTTCAAAATAATAACCCAATGTGAGTCAAATATATAATATTATTTTTTACTTCCCCTCTCGACCTTTCCTTATTTCGGTTGATGAAATGTCCATTCGAAACCTATCAACTGGTATCGAAATAAACATGTCTTTCAACTCATCTGGAATGTCAAAATCTTCCAAAACCTGCAACCATATTATTACATTACTTCAAAAAAAAAAAAGATTGCGACACGTTATGGAAAGTTCCATGAAATACAATCAAACCTTAAAAACACCATCCATATTTCGACCTCCTACAAGGAAAGTACATCCTGTTCTTTTGCATCCGACAAGTGTCTCTATCATATTCTCATAGCTGCCACCATAGTACTTTGGCTGGAGACAAGAGAGAGAAACTATATCCATATTAAAACGTGGACTAAATTCAAAAATAAATAGAAATAAAAATAAAAATTTATACATTTATAAGCCTTGCTGCAGTATCAGCACCAATTACAAAAGCACTACCAGGAAACAGCTCTGCTTTCTTATAGAAATACGGCTGATTAGAAATAATCACTGTTTTTCCTGTGCATTTTCAAACACTCATTTATGCCAACTTTTATATCAATAATTTTATTTTCAAATATAAATTAAAAAAGAAAACAAACTCACCAGCTTTTTCAAATTGTTTAACACGATCTTTAATCTGTGAAACTGTCAATGGAGGTTTGTCTGCATTTATGGCTGACAATTCAAAGCATGGATACCCCCCACTACAAAGGCTGCATCATGTACTAAGAATCTTTAAAATTGAATTACAAAAACAATCTCCAATTTTTTTTTTTTTTTTTTTATGAAAACAATATTTATTTGCTATAAATAACCTCATTGCAACTTCAAGGAGCTTAACGTGTCCATCATGTAGAGGATTAAAAGATCCAGAAAGAATTACTTTCCTATCTCCATTTGAAGCTTGTGTGCCTGTAAATCACTGACTTCATAATAAAGATTAACAGAAGACAAAGTTTTTGTTACAAATATATGTTTGGGAAATTACTTATTTAACCTTACCATTTAAAAATGGGAAGATTTTGAAGCATATTTTGCCTTGTATTAATTGTTCAAGTTCCTGATCTTCATCAAAATGCAACTCACTTACATCAGGAACTTCACCTTCAGTCAAATCTGAATCAAATGTTATTGAATTTGGAACCTTGCAAGCTTCTGCAATCGCCTGTTACATTAGCAAAAAGATCATTATTCAGTCATTTACACGTAATTTATGAACATAAAAAGTTATAAAGAACTCGATTTTGTATCACATGTTAAAGTAATTCAGAGTTGAGATAAAAGTTTTAGTCTCTGCACGTGTTTTTTTTGTAGTATTTGAATGGAATAAGTCAATCTGAATATGGACCAAGTGGTCCTGGTCTTTAGGTGATAGTGGAGTCAGTTCCTTATTTTCTGCATGAGTCTAGTTTAAAAAGGGCATGATGTACGTTGATGGGTAGTCCCAGTGTGTGTTTTCTTTTCACTTTGATTGTGAATAAAAAGTATAATCTTTTGCCCAGATTGCTCTGTTGTTCCCTGTTTAATTACTTTTCTGCATTATTCCGATTTTATCCTTCCCTGTGATAGTCCTAATTTGTCCCCTGTTAAGTCTACTTTCCTGTTCCCTGTTTCTTAATTGGTGAAAAGGCATTGTCACTCCTGCAAAAGCTAACACTTGGTATCAGAGCAAACCTGGTGCATGCCCAAATATCAATCTCGGGAAGAGATGACAGGAAACAATGGTAATGGTGAGAAAGATGGTCAGGTTACACTTCATTATCCAATGCTGTCAAGGTCCAATTATGCTGCTTGGGCAATCAAGATGAAGGTGTTCATGCAGGCCCAAGGAGTTTGGGATGCAGTGGAACCAAGAACAACAAACACTGTGGTAGAGGTGAAGAAAGATAAGATGGCTTTGGCAGCCATCTATCAAGGCATACCAGAAGACCTATTGTTGTCATTGGCTGAGAAGAAAACAGCCAAAGAAGCATGGGAAGCCTTGAAGACCATGTTCTTGGGTGCAGATAGAGTGAAGACAGCAAGGATTCAGACTTCAAAAAAGCTGAGTTTGAAGCCTTAATTATGAAGGAATCAGAGGCTGTAGATGAGTTTGCAGTGAAGATAAGCAACCTGGTGAGTACCATGCGAGCCTTGGGGGATGCAGTAGAAGAATCTTATGTAGTGAAGAAACTACTAAGAGCTGTACCATCTAAATTCCTTCAAATTGCTTCAACTCTAGAGCAATTTGGCAATTTAGATGAGATGACAGTTGAAGAAGTCATAGGAAGGTTGAAAGCTCATGAAGAAAGGATGAAGGGACACAGTGATAATGAAGAAAGAAAACTCCTTTTGACCCACCAAGAATGGTCAGAAAGAAATAAGAAGAAAGAAGAAGATTCCAAGTCCACTCACAAAGGAAATCGTGGTGGATTTGGAGGCTCACGTGGAAGAGGAAGGGGCCGCAGCAGAGGTGCGAACAATGGTGGTCGTGGTGGTCGTGGAAAAGGCAATTCACACCATCAAAAGGAAGACAAACGTGGCCAGTCAAGTAATCAAGACAAGAGTGGTGTGCAGTGCTACAATTGTCAAGAATTTGGCCACTACGCGGCTGAGTGTAAAAATCAAAGACGTGAGAGAAATCAAGTGAACAACTTAATTCAAGACCATGTTGACAATGGGCCTGCTCTACTTCTATCATCTTTTGATGGGAATGAAGAGATAGGTGAAGTCTTCCTAAATGAAGAAAATATAAACCCACCATTGAAGACAAAAGGGGATACAGTGAAGCAATCAAATATGTGGTATCTGGACACAGGAGCCAGCAACCACATGACTGGGGACAAGTGCAAATTTAGAGAGCTGGATGAAAAAATTCAAGGCTATGTGAAGTTTGGGAATGAGTCTAGAGTCAAGATTGAAGGCAAGGGCAAGATTGTCTTTCAATGTAAAAATGGAGAACACCGATAACTTGAAGAGGTTTATTATATCCCAGACTTATGCAGCAATATAATAAGTCTGGGACAATTGGCAGAAGGTGGAGATGAGATTAGAATAAAAGATCCATTCTTATGGGTGCATGATACTGCAGGAAGGCTGTTAATGAGGGTCCAGAGATCTCCAAACCGGCTTTACAAGATCGAGTTGGAAGAGGTGAGATCAGTGTGTTTAGTTGCTGAAATCAGTGAACCTTCGTGGCTTTAGCACTCTAGGTTGGGCCATGTAAACTTTCACTCGCTAAAACTCATGTCAGATAAGAAGATAGTTGAAGGAATGCCAAAGATACTCATCCCAAATCAGCCATGTGAAGGTTGCCTGGTAGGAAAGCAGTCACGAAATTCCTACCCTTCACAAGCAAGTTATAGGGCAAAGAAGCGGTTGGAGCTAGTACATGGTGACTTGTGTGGACCGGTCTCACCTCTTACACCCGCTGGAAACAGGTACTTCATGTTGCTTGTTGATGACTACAGTAGAGTGATGTGGGTGTATCTCATGAAGACAAAAGAAGAAGCTTTTCAAATCTTCAAGAATTTCAGGTCAAAGGTTGAAACTGAAACAGGTGAGAAGGTCAAAGTCTTGAGAACGGATCGAGGAGGTGAATTTGTTTCAAATCAATTCACTTCATACTGCAGTGAGACTGGATTGACACGCCATTATACCGCTCCATACTCCCCACAACAAAACGGAGTTGTGGAGAGACGAAACAGGACGATTGTGGAGATGGTAAGGAGCAGCTTGAAGTCGATGAATGTTCCTGATGTGTTATGGGGTGAAGCTGTGAATCATGCGGTATACTTGCTGAACCGGGTCAACACCAAAGCTTTGAAAGAAACTACTCCATATGAAATGTGGACTGGGAGGAAACCACATGTAGAACATCTCAGGGTATTTGGGTGTGTCGCACACATGCTAATTGAAAGAAGTCATCTAAAGAAATTAGAAGATAGAAGTAAAAGGCTTGTACATCTTGGAGTTGAGAAAGGAACGAAGGCGTATCGCCTGTTGGATCCCGACACAGGTGCGATGTATGTGAGCAGAAACGTTGTTTTTGAAGAAACTAAGACTTGGGCGTGGGAAGAGACGAGAAGAATCAAAAGAATTCCAGGGATCAGCTTCACCATCGCAGGGTTTGACCTCGGCGAAGTCAATGAAGTTGAAATTGGGTCTACGCCTTGCACTCCAGATGATCACACACAACAAATGCCCCAAATAAATATAGACTGGAACGTAGGTGGGTCTCAGCCCACTAACCAGTTAATGGACCCACAATTAAGCCCACTTGATTTGCACTCAAACCCACCATCGACTCCTAATTCCCCAATTACACCAAATGTGTCAGTATCGCAAGACGACTCCCCTGGTACCGCTTCAAGCTCGACAGGTGGTGGCGCTCCAAAGCGCTATCGGCTACTCACGGATTTGTATGAGAATACCGAACAACTGATGATGATTCACGATGATGAGGAACCTGCCACATATACAGAAGCACGAAAAATTAAGGAATGGGTCAATGCTATGAACTTGGAAATAGCCTCGATCGAGAAAAATAAAACCTGGACCCTGGTTGATCTTCCAAAGGGACGAAAAGCAATTGGCTTGAAGTGGGTGTTCAAAGTAAAACGGGATCCAAGTGGGAAGATCGTGAAACACAAGGCAAGAATTGTCGCAAAAGGCTATGTTCAAAAGCAGGGAATAGACTACGATGAAGTATTTGCACCAGTGGCGAGAATTGAAACGGTACGTGTCATCCTAGCCCTTGCAGGTTCTAACGGTTGGCATGTGCATCATCTTGATGTGAAATCAGCCTTCTTGAATGGGAAATTGGAAGAGGAAGTCTATGTTACACAGCCTGAAGGTTACGAGAAGAAAGGTGACACTAACAAAGTGTACAAGTTGTCAAAAGCCCTCTACGGGTTAAAACAAGCACCCAGGGCTTGGAATGCTTGTTTAGATAATTACTTGAAGAGTTTGGGATTCACGAGGTGTCTTCAAGAATACTCTGTGTACACTAGGAAAAAGGAAGGTGATACCCTGATAGTTGGAGTGTATGTAGATGACCTACTGGTCACAGGAAGTTGCCAAGAAGACGTGAAAAGGTTCAAATTGGAAATGAATGCCAAGTTTGAGATGAGTGATCTTGGACTTTTGACTTACTATCTTGGAATTGAGGTAGGTCAACATGAATCAGGCATCACTTTGAAGCAAGAAGCATATGCCAGAACCATTCTTGCCAAGACCCGTATGCTGGAGTGCAACCCCACTAAAAGTCCAATGGAACACAAGGTGAAGTTGAAGAAGAATGAAGATGGGGAACTTGTAAACCCCACAAAATACATAAGCATAGTAGGAGGTCTCAGGTATCTAACTCACACTCGCCCGGATATAAGCTTTGCAGTTGGTGTAGTTAGTCGATTTATGGAGAGACCAACCATGAAACACCTCCAGGCAGTGAAGGGGATACTAAGATATGTGAAGGGCACTTTAAATTATGGGATAGTATACACTAAAGGAGAAAGCAAAATCACTATCACCGGATATTCTGATAGTGATATGGGAAATGATGAAATTGATAGAAGAAGCACAGGTGGGATGGCTTTTTATGTGAATGGCAATCTGGTCACTTGGGCATCACAGAAACAACGAGTAGTGGCACTATCCTCTTGTGAAGCTGAATTCATTGCAGCTACAATGGCAGTGTGTCAAGGCATCTGGTTGCGCCGCCTTCTCACTACCTTAACTGGTCAAAACATACCTCCTGCAGTCTTGTATGTAGATAATCAATCAGCCCTTGACCTCATGAAGAACCCGGTGTTTCATGGACGAAGTAAGCACATAGACATAAGGTTTCACTTTATTAGAGAATGTGTGGAGAATGGTGAGATAATAGTGAAACATATATGCAGCAGGAACCAAAAGGCTGACATTCTCACCAAAGCAATGGCAAAAGTGAAACATGAGGAGATGCGCAGTCTGATTGGAGTCAAGCAAGTGGTCAACTCTGAATTAGGGGAAAAAATGTTAAAGTAATTCAGAGTTGAGATAAAAGTTTTAGTCTCTGCACGTGTTTTTTTTGTAGTATTTGAATGGAATAAGTCAATCTGAATATGGACCAAGTGGTCCTGGTCTTTAGGTGATAGTGGAGTCGGTTCCTTATTTTCTGCATGAGTCTAGTTTAAAAAGGGCATGATGTACGTTGATGGGTAGTCCGAGTGTGTGTTTTCTTTTCACTTTGATTGTGAATAAAAAGTATAATCTTTTGCCCAGATTGCTCTGTTGTTCCCTGTTTAATTACTTTTCTGCATTATTCCGATTTTACCCTTCCCTGTGATAGTCCTAATTTGTCCCCTGTTAAGTCTACTTTCCTGTTCCCTGTTTCTTAATTGGTGAAAAGGCATTGTCACTCCTGCAAAAGCTAACATCACATACCTTGAGTAAAACTTGGCTTGATACTCTTTCTTCTTGATCTCGGGTTCTCAAACCCTGCAATGAGTAATTGAAGTTACAAAGACTTTTGTAGATTTTGGTAACTCTTAACCACATACTATCATTAAGCTTTCAAGTACATGGTGTTAAGATCTTGATAGATTTATAAGATAAAGATTAACCTTACCTTTGACAAAGTTACTGAAGAAGCCCAAAGCCTGTTAGAAGTTCGTGTTGACAAGTAAAACCTGTAAATGAAACAAAAAAACTGAATGAAAAAAGCATCAATCTATCTACACACACACACACACACACACACACTTAAAAGCCTTAACTGAATTAGCTATAAAGAGGTACCTGTGATCCCCAAGTTTTGGACGTGTGGTAACCAAAGAACCAGTAAATCCCACACCTACTACAGGAGAACCTATACAAGAAAAAGAAACTGCATCAATCTATCTACACACACACACACACTTAAAAGTAGTGCATTTTTTTCCTACCAACTAAATGTGCATACTGCATAAGTGATAAGATTAACAATAGAACAACTGAGGATGCAAAATTATCATCTCACTACACTCAAAAGGTACCTGAGGATGCAAAGATAATTTTCTGCTTTTCAATTTTCATGACCTAAAGAATAATACGATGATTACCTGGTTTGGAGAGCTTTAGAGCACGATTATAAGCCACTAATGCCATGTCTTCAGCAGTCTCCTTGCTAGTGAATTGAACAGGTACCTACTAACATATGATAAGTCAAGCATAAATTTGTAAAACATGGATATAGATAACTCCATGCGTTCCAAAAAAGAAGTTATAGAATCATATTCAGTCTTAATTTTATGATTTTCGACTACATCTATAATTTTACCCTTCAATTGAAAAGGGCACACACCTTCCCAAGCAATTGGATCATTGACATACGAGAATAAGGAACAATAACTTCAAGAACTGTGTTTGACGCTCCAGGAACTGCCGCCAACCACCCTAAGACCTGAATTTAAAGAGTAAAACGCATATCAGAATCCAATTGTATGTGTGTTTGAAGTTGTTGATGGATAAATAGAGAATAGAATAGCGTCTGACCTGTGAAGCACCGCCGGAGAAGTAGAGGACGGCCTGAGTAGGAGTGGAGTGAATCGCTTCAACTAGTGCTCGGATCAAACTGTCCGTCATCGTCCGTTTCTCTTGCTTCGATTGTCTCTCTTTGGATCTATCTGTTGTGATTGTCGGTTATTAACGCTAACCAAGATTGGAACTTTAATTAGGGGTGTTAGAGTTATGAAAGTCGTTATTGATTTATTAGCTTTTTAAAAGCGCTAATAAATCTACAGAATTAGTTGGCAACGTTTTTCAAAACTGTTTTTTTGTAATCTTTAAATAAATAATTTTATAAAAGTCAAAATTTGTGAATTATAAGAAATAGTTTATAGTTTATATATAACAGAAAAACCATCTATTCTTACAAAACTGTAAAGATAATCTAAATATTGAATTATTAACTTATAGCTGTTCAAAGTTAAATAAGATAATCCAAACACTTTTTAAATAAGATAATCCAAACACTTTTTAACTTAAAGTTTTTTTTAACCATATAAGCAAATCCCAAACACCCTTAGTGAATGATACGAAAAATCCTAAGAAAAAAAATAATGAAATTGAGTAACCTAACCAAATATTTGTAGCAATATATATATATATATATATATATATATATATATATATATATATATATATATATATAATATATATATATATATATATATATATATATATATTTTGGCACAATAACCGACTTCTCAACAATGACTCATTTTGGAGTGGAGTTATCCTACAACACACATTGTGTTTAGGGTTCCAGAGTGAATGTTGTTACATATTAGATTTCGGAATGTATGCTGAAATATCATCACATTTCGGAGAAAGTAGGCAAACAAAAATGACATCCGATTACGATGAGTCAAGGTTTTACGGGTTAGTTTCTCATTCATTTACTTTTACATGTTAAGTTTATATTTTTAAGTGAAAATTTTTAATCCGAAATCTAATGAACATGTCTGAAATGCGAAAAACAACTCTCAAAAATAGTATTAGTTCATATATAGTGCCTTAGGTAGGTAGTTACTTTGTCTTAGTAACGGCCCTCAACATTAGATAAGTAGTTAGGTTAACAATATTATACTACTAGTCATTCTGTAATGAATTTCGTGTTCCAAAACACATAAAACTAGTTGGGAATAGGAAGAACAAGTCTGGAATGTATAGAAGAGTCTAGTCTAGAATACCATCATTAATTTACAGTGTCATATTGAAATTAATTCCATTTTACGTTTTTCATTGTGACCATAATTTTGATGATTCCCGTACAATGTTTTGCAAACTTATCATTATTGTGGATATTCTTGGTAAATTCAAGAACCGGCTACCATGTGAGGGTATCCTTAGAGATGTTTTGGTAGTTGGTTAGATTTTCTTGTTGCGGTGGACGGAGACATTTTGCTTTTACAATACAAATCTTGCGAAAAAGTTGTCCTAGATTCTCGAAGCAATGCGGAGGAAATGATTTTTGAGATCAAAGAGTTCGAATGGACCTTTGAGAGGAGGGAATTATGTCTTGTCACTAACTTCAAGTTGAGAGATTTTTTGCAACATCGGATTTCACACCTTCCAATTACATCTTTTTTCAACGGTCATGAAATTTAGATTATACGAACAATGGAAATTTTGTTTTTATTGCACCTTTAATCAAAATTTTGGAGTAAAGACTATTTTACAATTTGAAAATTATGGTGAATGGAAACGGTTTAGTTAACCCATATATGAGACCAAAAACTCAACCCGTTCATTCTTGGGGTAATGCTTCCGAGGGTACCGCAATCACATTTACCACTACTATGCTTGCCCTTAAAAATTTGTTGGGTATAAAATATAAAAAAATGATCATTGCTTTCGCGTGATAACCATTTTCATTACTAACCCTTAATCTATCTTTTTTAATATACAAAACATAATATTACCACTTATCCTTATTCTATGATGTTTATTTGCCACGTGGTATGTTTCTAAAATTTTCTAATAAATGTCAAAATATTTAATTACTAAATACGAAAATATTAATTCTAAAAATTTTTAAATCCATTTTTCGTAACAATATTAAAATTCGTTTAATATTTCAAACACATATCATATCTTATTTTAAATAATAATAATAATAATAAATAACCTTTTAAATCATTTATGATTTGAGTGAATCTCATAGAATCAGGATTATTCTACATGTCACCTATATAAATCAAACTTATTCCATATTTGTTTTGTTTATATTTTATTTTATTTTATTATCTATATAATATTTATAATAATACTTGTGATCTCTACGTGTTATAACATATTAAATCGTAAAGTAGTCGTACAAAACACAAACGAATTCTAGAAATGTATGCCAAAATTTATATAGTTCGGCCTTAATCTAAAAGTATATTAATTATGATTTACTTTTTTGTATTTTTTATAAAAAATCCAATTTATAACCAAATAAGTTTTGATGTAAAAAATCACAACCACCCACCATATGATATGTTGCTTCCATAGGGAACATGACATTTTGATGTAGACTTTTAATAGACGAAATTATCCAATCCTTCCTAATAAATAAAAATAATTTTGACACATGTCACTTTCTCATTAACTTGGATATATGTCATTTTTGGTATTTTTAAATAATTGTGTTTTCCATTTGTCATTTTCTCAATTTTTTTTTTATATTTTCTTAATTAACACATCATATCTACACATCAATTAATAATTACCTTAATTGAAAATAACCAATAAATTACAATATTAGTATTGATATATATTTAATATGTTTCCTTTTAAATTTTAAATTTCAAATCTAAAATTTCAAATTTAAATAAAATTTTATTTAAACTTTCATATTTAATTTTTTGTTTTATCAAACCCGTATAATATACGGGTCTCACACTTAGTTAAAGTAACAAAATGTATATGTAGATCGCATGATTTTCTGTCAACGTATGTTTTTACCGTTGATTGACTGATGTTTTTTTAAATATCTTATAGCTAACTTTTATTTGTTTTTTTTTATCATTTAATATCATTAAGATATTCATTGTATAGGAGCTGATTAGTATTTAATAGTTTTTCTCCCTAAATAATTTATGTTTAAAAATATTATATCACACAACTTTTAACATAAATTTTTATGTGCGGAGAAAGTTGTTGGGTACCAATTACGCCCTCTATTTTATATTTTTATTTGTTTTTTTGTCATTTAATGTTATTACTTATTAAAGTGTATACTTTTTTATTGGTTAAGTTGTCATTATATTTTAATAGAAGCAACTTTAATAAAAAAAAAAAAAAAAAAAAAAAAAACTATATTTATGGGAGGAAATTCAGAATATTTTTTACCTACAATGAATTTTGACATTAAATTTCATATGAACATTAAATATAAGAGAAATTTTAAAAAAAAAAATTGAATTTTTTTTCTTGTCTATGTGCATGTACACATTTTTTTTTTCAAATGTGCAAATACATAAAAAATATATGAATAAGAATAAAAAAAATGCACTTTTAAAAAAAAATTAAAACATTAAAATCAAAATAAAAGAAGTTGGTTTTTAAAAATAAAAACTTTTTTTTTCTATTTCAGTGAAAATATTTGATACGTTTCGATTTTTAATATTTAAATAAAGGAAACATGGTGAATACCTTTTAGCCAAGACAATACGAAATATTATGAATGCCATACTTGAAAAGGCTCCAAGCCTATCAAGAATGTTGATAATGGTTGGTAGGTTATGCTGTCACTCGTGAAAATCAATCTTGAATTGGGGTTTTTTATTGTCTTTGTAGTTGGCGCCTGGTGGCTTTGTACAAACGATTGACCAGGTCCAATTTGGCACTATTATTGGTGGGAATAAGTAAGGCATGCTTTGAGAATTATCTTCATTAAATTAGAGTTTTTGGATTGATGTTTCAATGGAAGAAGATGAAATTCTAAGAAGCTATTTTTGTTAACCACCAAGTGTTTGATAAAATGCTCAAACCAGTTTTTCTCGTGTTGCAGCCTTATTGTTCAAGATAATGTAGTTTGCTTAGTTTGGATGTTTCTTGTGCACACCAAGAGTGTGTTGGTGTGCCATTTCCTTCCTTTCCTTGTTAAATATTGCTTCATAGTTTTAGCTTCATCTCGAGGTTTGTTCTCTGGTATGGCTTCTTCTTCCACAAGTTCAAGTGATATTTATTTGTGCCCATTCAGAAGTTTCCATTGTCGCCCAAATGGTGAAGTGGGAAGTAAGGGGATTGGTTGTATGATTTCACACATCAAAAGACATCATTTATCTACTGAAGACCGTAAACGTGTGTTACGTGAAGCTCTTTCTAGTGATGTTGGTTTATTTATGGCAATGGAAGAAACTTTAAAGGCCTTTGGTCAATGGATGTGTGGGAAGTGTATGACTTTGCAGGCTCTTATCCGTTATTATCATCACCCGGATGGTCTTGCGAGGTTTGTTACAGGGGATGATGGTTCGAGTCGTTACACTGTCGGTATTCTAAAGCCGTCAACTAAAGAGTCGGTGACAAATGCTCTTGGAGGTTTGGTTTTTGATGTTGCGCTCCTTGATCGTGTTTTTAAAGAGCCTATCACTACTGTCAAGAGTATTCCCCATAGTTCTCGCCTTGCTTTCTCTCAGGCTTTGAAGACTGCTCTTTACAAGGTGATTGCCCAACCTGGCTCGGTTAAGGCATGTATGTGTTTCTTACTTCTTCCTCCTTGCACACTGCAGGTGTTTAGACCCAAAAATAGACAAGAATGTAGGTATGGGAATAGAAAATCCTTACAACAAAGCTCCATCCTGAAGTCCTTGGATACATGGGGAAAAGATGGTGGTATCACGAAGTTAGTTGAAAATATGTTAGACAATCCTGAGGTTGGAGCTATGAGGAAGTTTGGAGGCATCCTTCAGATGAAGTCTACATCAAGTAACACCAACATCAAACATTGTCTCCATAAGGTTGCAGATGGTCATTTTACCGCAACAGTGAAAGTGTTATGCTCATCCGGTGTTGTACTATACAATGGTGATACTATTAAAGCTTTGGAGGACAAACACCCTTTCAGGCCACCCCCATGCATGTCGAGCCCCATTATTTCTGAACCTCCCCTTGTGGAGAAGGGTCTTCTATTACCACAGACCTCATACATGCTATCATTTCAGTGGTTAATTTACGGTTAGCAGGAAGATATCCAACCATTTTGG